GATTGTTGTTAGATGTCTTCGAGTTTAGTCAGACTCATAGTGACCCTGTGAACAGATCTGAACCCTGTCAACTCTGACACTTCCACCTATTATTGTTGTTGTCAGTGTGTCAGTTTTTCTCGTTGAGAATCTTCCTCTCCTTCACGGACCATCTTTCCTAGCATGATGTCTCTTTCCATTGTTAGCCTCTCCTAACAATATGCCCAACGTATGTGACATGAAACTTAGCCATCCTTGCCTTCAAGGAGCACTCCGGATGCTCTTTTAACAAGACATACCTGTTCTTTTGGCAGTCCATGAGACATGCAGTACCCTTCTTCAGCACCACAAACTCAAAAGGCATCAGTTCTTTTGTCATTCTCACTCATTGTTCAGCTATCAGACTCATAGCAAGTGATTGAAAAGACCATGCCCCAAATCAGGTGCACTTTAGTCTTCAAACTGACATCATTGCTCCTCAGTAATTTGGAGAGGTCTCTGACAGCATACTTGCTCCAGTGCAATATATGTCATAATTGCTGGTTCCAAGGGGGTTAATTTTATTCTTTCTTCCACCTATTATGATGTTGCTTATTGGTCCATTGGTAAGGATTTTTGTCTTATGGATGTTGCAATACAATCCATATTGAAAGCTGTAGTCCTTGATCTTCTCCAGCACACATTTCAAGTCTTCCTCACTTTCAATAAGCAAGGTTGTGTCATCTGTGTAAAGCAGATTGTTGATACATCTTCCTCTGATTCTGATGCTACATTCTTCTTTTTAGAGTCCAGCTTGTCAAGTGATTTATTCAGCATACGTATTGAATAGGTATAATGAAAGGATACAACCCTGACGTTAACCTTTCCTGATTTTAAATCATACAGTGTTCCCTTGCTTCATTCAGACAACAGCTTCTTGGTCTAGGTATAGGTTTTATATGAGCATAATTAAGTGTTCTGGGATTCCCATTCTTCACAATATTAGCCATAGTTTGTTAGGATTCAAGCAGTCAAATGCTTTTGTGTAGTCAATAAAACACAAATAGCCATTTTTCTCATATTCTTTACTTTCAGTCAGGATCCATCTGACATCAATAATGCTATCCCTCTTAAACACAGCTAGAACTTCTGTAAGTTCTCTGTCAATGTACTGTTCTAGTCAGTTTTGGGATTGTAGTTGCAGGTCCTTGCCACTAGGCCACCAGAGCTCCCCTTTCTAGTCAGTTTTGGATAGACAGTTTTTAGGAATATTTTGCTTGTGTGTGATATTACATTGTTTGATAATTTCCACATTCTCTTGAATCACCCTTCTTGGGAATAGGAACATGTATGGCTCTCTTCCAGTCAGTTGGTCAAGCAGCTGTCCTCCAAATTTCCTTGCATAGACTGGTGAGCACATCCAGGGCTGTTTCTGTATCTGTCAGTTGAAACATGTCAGTTGGTATTCCATCAATTCGCGGGGTATTATTTTTTTGCCAGTGCCTTCATTGCCATTTGAACTTCTTTAGTTACTGCTGATTCTTGTTCATATGGTTGTGTTGTTATGTGCCATCAAGTCACCTGTGACTCATAGCTGTGCCAACTTTATTGTCTCTGACACACCTACCCTCATTACCCCAGACACTGTATCAATCCATCTCATTGGTAGTCTCCCTCTCTTTCTCCATCCCTCCACTCTTCCAAGCGTGATGTCCCTCTCCAAGTACCGGTCCCTTGCAACATGATCAAAGTATGTCAGACGAAGCTTCAGAATCCTTGCCTCTAAGGAGCAGGCCAGCTTCATTCACCCTCTCTAGTACAAACTTGTTTGTTTTCCTGGTAGTCCATGGTATATTCAGAACTCTTCTCCAGCACCACAACTCAAAGGCATCAATTCTCTTTCTATTAATCCCTAGTTATTGTCCAGCTCTCTGACCAATAGCAAGCAATTGCAGACTGTGGTCTGGATCGGGCACTCCTTAGTCTCCAGACTGACATTGTTGCTTTTCAGTACTCTGGAGAGGTCCCTGACAGCTGACTTTCCCCAATACAATTCGTCTCTTGATTTCCTGGCTGCTGTTACCAAGTGTTGATTTGGTACTTCTTGAAATTTTTCAGTGTTAACTAATTCTTTTTGGTGGAGTGATTTTGTGTATTCCTTCCATCCCTTTTTTTCCCCCTTCTTTCTCCTCCCCCCGCCCCCTTGTTGTGTGCCATTGAGTCAGATCCAACTGGCACAGGAGGAGACTGCCCATCCTTCTCCCAGCAGAGTGTTTGGTGCATTTGAACCTTGCACCTTCAGGATCTTCCATCCTCTTTTGATGCTCATTGGGTCATTCAAGATTTTGCCCATAGCCTCTCTTTCTCAGTATTGCAACTTGAGATTTGAATTTGTTTTTCAGTTCTTTCAATTTTAGAAATGCAAAGCAAGTTCATCACTTTTTATTCTCCAGTTCCAGTTTTTTGAACATTCATTATAATACTTTGCTCCGTCTTCTCGAGCTGCCCTTTGAAATCTTCTGTTTATCTCTTTTACTTTGGCATTCCCCCCCC